TCCAAGTGGTAAAAGGATTTTTGTGGTTTCATGCTTCATTCCATCAAGGTGCTGAAAATAAAAATCTACCAGGTATTTAAAACTTTTGAATGACACCAGAACTAAAATAAAATTCCAAGCAGAAGGTATTGTTTACTTATGGACCTTATTACCAGTAAAAACAGAGTACAATGAACTGTACAATGGCACTTTAAAAATAGTTTTCTACCTTTGCTTATATGCATAGATATGAAAAGGGGTTTTCATTACAAATTCAGTTAAAAAAATAATAAAATATATCGACTTGATATATGTGCCAATTTCAGACTTATTTATCAGCATACATTCTAACATACAACAGCTATGCAAGAATTGGCAGGTTTATCCATCTCATTAATGTGAAAATCAATATTTATTTGAGCTATTAATGATATGCATTATCCAACATCTAACAGTCTTAAATTATTAAAAAGAATACATTTTTATTCCATTAATTTAACTAATATAAAATTGAATGGATTTTAAATAACTATATTTTAAAATATAAATAAGCTAGCAATAACATGTCCTTAAAAAAAAATGCTTCCAACAGAGGCAAGAGTAAGGTGGTTGGTCCCCATTTTAGAAACGTTTTGAGAAATGCTGTTACAATCAGTTTTGAATTCTGATCCAAACCACAACCATCACTGCATTTGCACTCTTGGCAATATTACACCAAGCACATACAAAACCAGCTGTACAGCAACCATGTATCATGCATGGATAAAGAAACTCCATTTCACTCATGAATTTTTCTGCACATAAACTTACAGATTGTTATATACTTGAAGCGAAAGGTGAAGTCACACCTATCACTTCTGCTTGATATTTCCACATCATATTATCATCCCTTTTGGGATATGATAATTTCAACAAGATAGCATGGCCATCAATACCAAACCATAAATAAGTTAGTTTACCTTAACATCTTGCACTAAAAATCTGAATCCTTTCTACATCCCAGAAAATTGATGAAGTTGAATTGCTGAATTTAATGCACAGTTTATTCTTCCAAAATTTTAAAAGCTTACAACTTATTCTTTTAACCGTATTCTTCTCTTTCTCTTTAATTTTGTTCAATTAGATGTACTGAACATTAGATGTACATTTCTTTTCCTTACTGTTTACTTTTTCCAGTTTCTTCTGTTTTGTTCTGCAATAAGTTATAATTTGTCAAATGCAGATCTGAACTGTATATGAATTTGATTCAAATATTACAGATTAATATGTAATTTAGATAGGTTAACATGAGACATTTGTAAGTGAAGAAACCTTGACACAGTGATTATTTTTTGGAAGAAAAAGAATAAATTAAATATTTTCATTTCAGTTCATTAAAATTAATTTAACTCAAATATAGGTTTAGAAATAAGAAAAAAATTACAAGATTCATCTACTGTTTCATGCAAACAAACAAAAAAAAAAGTGAAAATGGCATACTATTAATAGATATGCATTTAAGAAGCACATATTTTTACCTTATTTATTATGAAAGTTCTAAATATTATTAAAATTAAATAAATCTTTTCATAATGTTTAAAGAGGGTGATAACTGGCATGGAAAATTTTCATAAGATTTATGTAGAATTCACCCTTTTTGATGAGCAGAACTTCCCATTACAGAAAATGATGGAAATGGCCACCGTTGATGTCAATGCAGCGCTGGGTTCGATTTGTCAAACTGTGAGACACGTGTCACAGTTCTATCTCAAGATTATTTGGGTGCAGTTGACCCTTCAATTTGCTCCATAAGTAAAAAATCACAGGAAGAGAGATCAGCTGATCAAAGTGGGCAGCAGATTACTGATTGTCCTCTTGTCATTGAACATTTGACACACTTGTAACAAGGTGGTCATGGCAGTGTGTGCAGCTGCTGTCTTGCTGAAAATATCCATACAGTCATTCGTCTTCCATGAACTGATCCATAAATGAATAAAACGTATTCTGGACATACCAGTACACATTAACAGTTTTGTGAAAGAATCCAGACACCGTGCACCAAACACCAAGCTTGAGATTATGCAATGGCTCTTCAAAATACCGATGGGGATTTTCTGATGCATAACAGCGGATGTTATGCAAGTTCACATATTCTGACAGGCTGAACCAGGCCTCATCTGAAGAAATGAAAAACTGAGGACCTAAAGCATGATTCAACTTCACTTAGAAACTATCAATTGAACACAACATGTGCAAGTTTGTCTGGAGGCTCTAGCTCATGCAGAAGTGTAAATTTGTAAGGATACAGATACAGGTCCCTTTTTATGATGTTTCGATGCGAGAATCTCTTAATCTCAGGAAAGTCTTGCCATTGAAGACTTTCCTGGAGGTTTTTGCCAAAGCATTTCCACACTTAATCTCTTACACAAATAGTTCACGGACGTTTTCCATAAACTGTGCTTTGCATAACACTCGAGAATGAACATGGCCTAGAGCATGCACATGTGACAGCAACTGATGTGACACCGACATCACCAGTGGCCATTTCAAGCATTTTCTATAAAGGAAAATTCTCCTGTTCATGAACATGGGTACATTCTGTGTCAAGATTCCAATTATTTCTCCAGGCCAGTTTTCTTTCCACCACTTTGTATTATACATTCACAACAAATTAATTTTCTACTCAAATATTTTAGCACTGCACTTAGGTAATACTGGCCTTCAGCAATTCCTAATTTCAGGTAATCAGTTTAAATCTAATAACATTACATGTAGTAATTATAATTATAATATATATATATATATGAAAGGTTGTTCGAAGCATTTATGTGAAGGGAACCCAGATTTAGTCTCCCCCCCCAAAAGAATCGTAATGTTAACATTTGTTGTGTTTAGTAAAACAAGTTTTTCAACATAAGTTATATGTTAATATTTTCTCTTTAATTTTATAGAGACATAATATCTCATTCAGTTACAGACTGCTTCTTATTCAGTAATCCTATGTTGCTTATGCAAGTATTTTTAAAACTATCTCCAGATCTGTGCTCTCATGAACTGAAATTGCTCTACACAGCAGATTTTACATTAAAACTATTTAAAGAATTCTAAAATGGTCTCATTGTTGTACTGTTTTAGAAAAGGGCTACTCATCTAACTATCGAATTACTACCTTAAAAGGTATCTGCATTTCAGTGAATACAAAATTCCAATAATGATTGGCTGATTGATGGTAATAGAGTTTCAAGAGAAGATTAAAACAGAGATGTTTTCTTGTACTAAAACTCTAATTTTGATAAGATAAAAAAAATAATAATAGATTGGTCAAAATAGCTGGATCAATCAAGTTAAGGAAAAGCACAATTCACAGCACAAGCTTAAGTTAATTGGAATTATTTCTCCTTCTTCCCTGCTATGCAACAATAGGAAACCAGTATGTGTAACATTTTACACCAAAAGAGCACTGTTCCTCGGGGTTCACTTATTGTGTACAGAGATAATCGGACACAAAAATTTTCCCCCTACAACATTCAATAGTCAAAACAAAAGCCTGATTTGCTAACTGGTAAGTGTTTAAAGCCAACATGCAAGTTAGATGATTCAAAATTTCCTTGAAAGTGATGTTTTGGTGGGGGAGGGCGAATACTCAGCTAAATGGAATACAAATTGATTTAAGATACACTTGCTTTTGCTTGAGTATCACATTACTTGTTCTTACACTGTATCCCCCTACCCCGCAAAAAAAAAAGGGGGGGCTGTGGAAGATTTGGATAACAGATCATTTTTAGGTTATTGGATGTTCAGATTTTGAACTTTATATTGCAAAGTTAAATACCTCATGATCATCTCCCATACAAGATCAGATTATCATCTAGGTATGACTATGACGATATGCAAGGATTAGAATATCATCTCTAAAAATGGCCAGCATTTTAAGAACATAAGCAAACATCAGTATCGAACATAATCTTTTATGTCAATCACCCCCACAGAAGATCAAATTCATTTGGAATGGTAGATGGTCATTGTAAGGAGATGTTAGAGTAGTTTATGACAATTCCATGTTCCCGAAATTTTAATATTTAATGACATTTTTGTAAGAATAACAAGTATAATTTTTATTATACATTAAATATACTGCTTTTAAAATAGATAACAGATATCAGACCAAAATATTAACTCAGAAATACATGATATTCAAGTCCCATCTAGCTTTCAAAAACTTTCAGTATATTAACTATAACATAAGTGTGTATCAGTACATGAAAAACTCCAATTTTCATATGTGTTCAATAAGAGCATCACCAGTAATGCAGCAGACTTTGACCTCAGCTGACAGTAATGACAGCTGTTCATTTTACTTCACACAGGCAGAATTGTAAGTCTCCTTCACTTTATATCACACTTGAATTATATTGCAAGCAGGTGCCTCCGTTAGAGGTTTGATAGAAAATATATACTGTATTTTCATAAAGACTCACAATCGATGAAGTCTAAGATGCAGTAAGCTTTGTGTTCATTACTAAATGGCATGCTAAATATACTGCCATTTAATGTCATGATTGCCATCTAACAGCTAAATCTACAGTTACACATGATTTACAGCCTAATCTACGGATAAGCCTACAATGAAAGTTCATTGGACAGATTCTTTATGTAAAGCTGGGCAATTTTCTGCTGTGTTACAATTACTGTATTAAAAAATACAGAAAAAAATTTAAGGCATTAATTATAGTTATTGTATTAATTCTCAAAACCCTGAAATATGAACCAATCGGTATATATTTAATATATAAACATGAGACAGAAGTAAACTTTAAAAAAATATTTCGGCTGGCTATAAAAAAAACACCTTTAAATTCAAAATACACAGCTATTTATATATATATATATATATATACAGCTAATTTAAGATGGGAAAAAAAAAAAAAAAAAAAAAAAAAAAAAAAAAAAAAACAAAAAAAAAACAAAAAAAAAAAAAAAAAAAAAAAAAAAAAAAAAAAAAAAAAAAAAAAAAAAAAAAAAAAAAAACTCCTAAGAATTACTTTTGATGGAGTTTTCCTCAGTTTAGCAGTAGCTAGAGCCGCTGCGAGGGAAACTTCAGATGTTTCTTGATCGACACTATTACGCAAATTTAGCCTTGGCAACGTTGCTATTCCAGATATACTAGAAGCTGATGGAGGAGGAGGAGGTGGTGGTGGTGGAGGAACATTGGATTGTGGAGAAGGTTGCTGAGGAACAACTGACAACTGCTGTTGTGATACAGATGGAGCAGAAGAGGCACGATGATGACTATAAGAACTAGGGGAAGTTACACTACCAGGAGTAGTCGGGTGGCTGGAAGGAGCAGCTAAGGAAAGATTTAATTTTTTGGCTTCATTTGTCTTCTTAAGGTATACAAATATTGTGCAGAAGCAAACATAAACTAAATTTTAACTACAAGTGTTTTTGAAAATTAATTCAGTGCATAATTATATAAAATTAAATAGAATTCCAAATACATAATTAAAAAAATTTGCATTAAAATATTAATATCATTATTTGCAATTTTACTGATTGCTTACTTTTGTGTTTCAAGTAATTCTGGTTTATTAATGACAGATTTGCTAGGAAATATTTAGCTCCTATTTATAAAGCAACTTGATTATTCTCAAAGAAATTTCCATTTCTTATTGTAATTTTTTTACACTATCTTCAGCTTGTATATATATACAGTCAAAAGTCGTTAATCCGGACTCGTTGGAACTTCGGCAATTCCGGATTATAGATAATCAGTTTAAATCTGGTAAGATGGCATACAGAAATTATAAAATTAAAAATATGAAACCGTAATTTATGAAATAAAGAACAACTATGATCTAAAGGGTATCAAAAATTTACAAAAAAAAAAAAAGCTTAATATTTTTTGTTTACTTTATTTATTAAACATTTCTTTCAATGTAAGTTGTTTAAGTTGCTTCATTTTTATGTGATAATACATTCTCTTTAATTCTATAAACAGACATAATTTCTTGTTCAGTTACAAAGTTCTGCTGTTCAAGTCCTATAATTGCTGTGTCGAGAATACCGACTAATTTGTCAATCGAAATTTTTTCGTTTTCAATAACCTCTGTCACTTTCTTCGCTATCGGAATCGAATTATAATGACGAGGAATTTGATTTAAATCATATCAAAGACGGAGTACATCGAGATGAAATACTACATTTAGTAAGGAATTATAAGCCAAATAAAATAAAAACATCTGCCCTGAAGATAAGGATAGTGCTGACAGATCAACTTCCAATTCATTGCGTGCGGCGGCATTAAAGATAAACAAAGTTTAGATAAACAAACGTTAAAGTCTAAATAAACAAAGGATATGCCGTTATCCATTTTTTGCAGCAATTCCACTTTTTGTTTAATGGACTTCGAACATATTTTCGCTTTGTAGATCCTTTACATATTAGTTAATATATATCAGAAATTCTATTTGACATAATCGAAAGTTCAAGCTTACTTTTATAAAATTGCTCTAACAGTCTGCAAAAAATAATAAGCCAAATCCAATTCGAAGATTAAGGAACAACGCAATCTGCAACATTAACTGAATTAGATAATTTTAGCTTAGCTTATACCGTCCGTTATACATTAAACGCGCATTCGTATACGTATTTTGCGCACACGCGTATTCGCAGCCGTAAAGGTCTTACGCGCATGTGTCAACGCAATGCATGCGCAGAAAGTTTGTAGCTTTGAGGTCCGGATTATGGGTGTCCGAATTAACGACTTTTAACTGTATATATGTGTTTAACTCTGTGTTAATATCGGGTTTTAAAGAAAGTTCCCTGCCACCGCAAATATCGTCTGCGCAAAAAGTTTGTGTCATCGTGTTTAATTACATTTTGTCAAACGATTTTTGGCATTTGAAAGAGAAAGACTTGCTTTAGAACACTGTGTTGTGGAATTTGTAAAAAAAAATACCGTTATCATTAAGTACAAGGTGTCTGAAATGAAACTACACTCATGGACAAAAAAAATTAGCACATCAAGAAGGAGTCGTCAAAATGAAATGAAATTTTACATACGTAATGACTACTTTGATATATGTAAATGATAAGAAAATCAAAGAAAAAGGATAATTTATTTCAGAGAAAAAGACAAAAGAACGGAGGAGTTAATCTCCATTGGAACCCATCTAGTGCGAATGCACGATGCGATATCGGGCATTGAGTCATACAAGTTCTGTATGATGGCTTGACACATTTCGTTCCATATTTGCTGTAACCTTGCCTCTAGTTCGTTTAAACTCGTGGGATACCCAACTTGTTGTCCCAAATTATTCCAGATATGCTCGATTGGAAACAAATCTGGGGATCGGACAAGCCAAGGAAGGGTAGTAACAGTGTGGAGATAGTCTTGTGACACCCTTGCCGTATGAGGCCGAGCACTGTCTTGTTGAAAAATGGCTCCTGGGAGCCGTTGCATGAGTGGCACACACGTGGTTGGAGGAGGGCTGTCATGGTGCCACGGAACAATACTAGGGGTTACCATGTATTGCAGGCAATGGCACCGCACAGGCAATGACATACACCAGCTGTGGGAGCAATGTGTCGCCGTACAGCAAAGGCAGGATTGAGGCGTTCACCATGTTCTCTCCACACACGAACACGATTGTCATAACTACCGAGACTGAATCTGTATTCGTCGCTAAAGACGACCTGGTTCCATTCCGCTGCAGTCCAATTTCCTCATGGTCGACACTACTCTAAACGGAGGCGTCGATTGGTGGGCATCAAGGGCAGCGCACATAATGGGAGCCGCGACACCAACTGTCCTTCAGCCAGGTGCCTTCGTATGGTTCGAGAAGACAGGGGCCCCTAGTGAAAACGCTACCTGTGCCTGGACGATGGCCGATGAAGCAGTTGGCTGCACACGTGCATTTCTTACGATATGGCGGTCTTCTCGACAACTGATCTGTTGAAGGCGGCCTGAGCCTGGTCTTCGTGTACATGACATCTCTCGGGTCCACTGGTCCCAACACCTCCTCACAACACAATCAGCGGTCTAATTGACGAGCTACTCACCTAGCTGACCATCCAGCTTCTATCATCCCGACGATTCTCCCCCTCTCAAACTGCGACAACTGCTCATATTGTCTTCAAACACGCGTAATGTTCGAGTTCAGCACACTCAAACAAGCTTTGGTTACCTGTTTTATACTCCACAGAGTATGACGTTCAACACCCTCTACTGGCTATGCGTAATGCGCAATCACGCTGCATTGCTAATCATTTGCATATCTCCCCGACATGTACCTTCATTGCAAGTTTCGTTACAGTCCTGCAATTATTTCCTGGTGTGCTAATTTTTTTGTCCATGAGTGTATTATGCTACCAGATTAGAACCACCATTTACTTAGAGTTCTATTGCAAAAAGTCAGCTACAGAAATGTCACCAAATGATGTGCACAGCTTTACAGACTAATGCTGGATCATATGACACTGTGACGGTTTGGTACCAAAAGTTCAAAAATAAGGACTATGACATTCAAGAAGCAGAGTGCTCTGGTGACCTACTGATGTTGATGAGGTCCGCCTGTGAGAACTTATGGAAGAAGATCAGTATGCAACCACTCGAGAGCTTGCTAAGGAGTTAGACAATAGTGCTATGTCCATTAGTCGCGCTATGCATCACATAAACTTTCCGTACAAGTTCAAGAGCCAAGTGCTGCATGAACTGACTCAAGCAGATAAGGAAAGATGTGTTTGGACCTGCACTAATCTGCTTGAATATCAACGAAAGGAGAAAAATTCTGGACCATTTGTGATGAAAAGTGGATTTACATCAACACAGGCCAAAAAGGATGTTGGTTTGTGCCCGGTGAGCCCACCGGCAGTGCAAAGCGCAATTTGACTAACAAAAAGATGATGTTTTGTATATGGTGAAACTGCCATGGTATTGTCCACAAAGAGCATGTTGGAAGAGGTAAAACCCTCGTCAGTAAGGTGTACAGCGAGATCCGTGCTAACGCTACTATCAAGGAAAAATCAGCTTCAGTGCAAAAGGTAATGTTTCATCAAGATAATGTGAGACCACATGTGTCTGCATTCACTGGATACAAGTAATTCTGGTTTATTAATTCTATATGGACTTGAATGGGATCTTTTGCACATCCAACATATATCCGACATTGCTGCTTCGGATTTCTACCTTTTTTCACAAACTTACTGGTGCTATCTTCCACTCTGCACAGGACATCTGAAATGCGGCTGATCATGATCACCAGGTTTCTAGGCCAAAGACTTTGAAAAACTATCAAAATGCTGACAGAAAATCATAGATTTGGGTGGTGATTACTACCTGCACTAAAGATACTGCTTTCATGGGTTTTTTTTCCTAACTTCATTAAGAACGTTTTTGGCGGAACACTTTGGTTACAACCAGATATTTATAATATATACAAGTAAAAACAAAACTTTTAGGAAAAATAAAAAAATTTAAAAAGGATGAAATACAATAAAAATACATAGAACAGCTTTGCATACTTTATATTGTGTGACGAATGTCATCCAGACACATACAATAAAATTTTTTAAACTAAACACATTTAAAGGCTAATAGTACAAAATTTCAACTGCAGCTTTACAAATCAGCAACAAGGAGAATATAAAAATACAACTGATATATAATAAAATACTTCAAATCCAATAATAATTTCAAGCATTTAGGTACTTTAAAATTTCTCAATCATGACAAACATTTAGCAAAAATCAAATATATTTCTAAAATGGTTTATTAAAATATAATTTTTTTGTTATTGCTGTTATCATTGTTTCATTATATGTGCAGGATGTTAAGAAAATCATAGCAATGCTTACATGCTAATTTAATGTGAATATGTTATGAAAATTTTACAAAAGTAAGAATGGATTTATATTTGCAGGAACATTTAACTGGCAATAGAGGAAAAAAAGCATAAATCAAATATTACACTGAACAGCATATATATGTGGTACCCTGTGTGCAACACAGCCACCAGAGGGCCTCACCTATGTGCCTACAGCGAGAGAGAGGTGAAAGAGGAGTATGACATATAGACATACGGTTGTCTATCCCACGCGGAGGTGGTAAGACGTAGGTCTACACGTGAAGGTGGTGAATTTAGAACTGTATGTTTCCACGAGGAGGTGGTAACTTGACTGCATATACGACAGCTAGTGCGAATATGTGCTAAGCTGCTATTTAAATTCTAAAAGTGATAAAGAACGGTGTTTATATCTACCAAGCACGAGAAGGTGCAACAGCACTTCTGTACCTTTTCTGTTATTTTCATTAAATGTCGTCTGTAGTGTGGAAAACATTGGAATTGT